AAGCAGTGGTATCAACGCAGAGTACTCGAAACTTGCTCAGCTAGAAAGAAAAGGTCACAGAACCCATATTCATGACTTTTCCTTCTTTTCTGTGACGTTTTTAGGCTTTTTTGAGCATGCTCAAAAATTGCAAAACTGAAGAAATTCTCTTTATCTGCTTCTAACTCTCGATCCTTCGTTTTAATTCATGGAAAAGGCACTCTAGCAAAAAGCATAATTTTCTCTATCAAATAAAAATACTTTCAGAATTTTTCGTGACCCAGCTCGAAAAATGACAAACTCGATTGATTTCCTTCAATTGCTTGTAGCTCTCGAAGTTTCTCAAAGTAATCAATGCCGTAGGCACTGCTGTAAAGAGCATGAATTCCTCTTTCGAGTGGATATAACTTTAACGAAATCCATTGAGCGGCAAGGAAGTTATGACTTTTTGAATATGATGCGCAAAAACTTTCGGATCAACCTAATAGATATTTGGATCAATATATCTTCAACCTCTTGGGAAAACCATAACCCCCCCCCCCCATAATTTTTTTGTTTCTTATTCGTCATGGTAGAATCGCATGTCATAATTTTTGGAGATTTTCTTCTCAGAATTGAAAATTGTTACAATGTCAATACTTTTTTGTTGCGAAGATAATTCAAAATAGGAAAACCAAATTTTCAAACTGTTTTTAGACGGAAATTGAATAGATACTCTCTTACTCTTTTCACTAAGTCAGATCAAAGTGAGTTATGATTCTGCAAAGTTTTGCCACGATAAATGTGCCCAACAAGAAATCTGCTCCAATCCGATTTTTGTTTGGGTCAATGATTGAACTCACCTAATGATCAATTAGTATCACTACTGTACACATCTGTGTGGATTAACGCAAAGTATGAAAAATCATCAGCTGAGTTTACATTCAGCCTTTCTTAAGTGTTAGAATGACTACTCTAATAGCATATAAACATGATGTGCTATTAGAGCAACTAAAAATGGTAGGCAAATGTTTTTAGGTCAACCTTTTTGAAATAATTCGAACTAATATTCAAGTTACATAGTTGTTATATTTTACAATCAAACATCTCTATTCTAGTGAGAGAGCATAAAATGTTAGTTGATAACAGCTTTACGGACTGTCTGTTATTTTTCTAAGCTTACCAGGGTAAAGACTTCGTTACAGTACTCGTCTGTAGGCATTACTTACTGGCTAGAACTGATTTGAAAGTCATAACTGGCCTTAGTTACCTTGATGCTGAATTCCTACATGTTAAGGAAGGTACATATAGCCACGTTCAGGTTTACTGCGCAATTTAGATATTGTTTGTTTTAAAAATGAGCACTTTTTCATCCGTTTTACTGATCACAAAACCCAAAGCCTTAACATTCGTGCATTTTTCTTTGTAACCTATGCAGCACCGAAAAAACATTGCCCTGTTACTTTTTTCATCAACTTTCGAACAAGCTTATGCTATGTTTCCGATCGATAAAAAATGTCTTAACATAACATAAAAGCTATCACATTCTCGCCACATTTTAATGCTGCTCTTTTTCGATTTTCTAAGTTCATTATGAAAATATGAACATGGCTAGTGCACGATGTCAACAGTGATAGCGAGAAAATTAGTAGTTGCTGAACTTTGGAAAGAAATTTTATGCTATTTTTATTGCCTCCATACTTCCCAAAATATTTACGTGGATATCGAGATGCGACGGTGTAGAAGCATATATGTTTCTTATCGAATTTTTTTAGTGCCAATGGCTAAGCATAAACGAATTTACTAATATCCTTCTATCCTTTGATTACCAAAACTTACTGATGGTTATTCGGCCGACAAGAAAGATGTGAAACAATTTTCTTATCTGGTTATCATACAGAATTTTTTCGAGTATTAGCAAATTTGAGCCCTAAATGAGAACAGGTGAAAAATTTGAAAGACAAGCAAGGTTGGATATGGTTCCCTTTACTGTATGAAATGTATTACTTTGACTGATTCGCACTGATTCCGGAATAACAGGTAATGCAGTAGTTCAGTATTTTGAAATCGCTTCGATTCTGTTCTCGTTCTCCGTATTTGCCACAGTGTCTTCGAAGTATCTGTTTAGGTCCATGATACTTGTAAACATTTTGGTATTCTTTTAAAATCATATTAAATAATTCCTCTGGAACTTCTGGGAGTTGCTTGTTTCGGACGAGCTTCATCCCCTACGAATGTCCTGATTACGTAATTGTCGATTACAAGTGTAGGAGTCGGTTCGAATATTTCCTCAAATTGTGACATTATAATGCCTTCAACAGACTTTGGACCAGTAACAACGAACTACCCAGACGGTGCATATATGCTTAGGGTGAAACGGGAGATTTTCCCGCTTCTAGCACCATCGGAAAATCACGGATTTTGTTGAATAAAATAAAGTGCGACTGGCATGTGTCTATTTAGGTGCACTAGTCTTTGAGCTCAAAGTCAATAAATTATATCTCTCTTGGATGAAAATTTGCTTGAAAAAATCCCAAATCTTCCTTCGGCTGCAGAGAAAGAGCAGTGCAGCGAACTAGACGAACAGCTCTCTCCATAATTTTTTTCAGTTTTCCATACATTATATACTACGGTTACGTAATGTCAGATTGTCAGAAAATTTTCTTGTTTTGGAATTGCGCAACATTTTGCCAAATTTTCAAATTTCCTTGTGATCGTGGTAAAAATAAAATTACTTCGATTAGACTAGCTTCAAAGCAAGTTACGGTTTATCTTCCATTCCTTAAGCGTTGAGGCCAATGTATGTGCTTGTTCCTCATATCATTTTAGTGATCGTAAATAATTCAACTTTTCAAACTTCTGATTCTAGTAAATTCCTGGTCATCCTGGTGATGGAGTGCACCATCTTTTCGGAATTTAAGTCTTTTTGAAGACGTCAGATCTGCATAGACGTTTTTTGGTTGAAAAAGAGCCCATCTTTCCAAAAGTACTTACTTTTGGGCAAAAATTATAGTTTGTCTTTGTAAGACACACTCATAAAAAATCATAAGCATGTTTATCTAGAATATTAAAAAGGATATCCATTCTGCATAGTCCCACATAAAGTAGTAGGAATTTCTTCAAGAGGAAAAAGTCCACAACTTGATCAAGTTCACATACCTCAGCTCCAGTACTCTACATACATTTAATTCGTCATTTTTTGATATTGTATGTTTTCCCGCCGTACCAGAATAAAGTATTCAAAAAGCTTACACTTTTACATAAAAACATGTCTTTCCAGGATTATGTCGCCAACAATTGCCTTCATTGTTACTTTCTGCTTGTTGGTGTGTTCAATAGACGCACAAAGTTTATCGGAAAACCCGGTTGGTCCCTAAAACTGAAAAATGCATCCGTTATTTATCTCCGTTTCTTTAGGACTTGGAACGATTTCTAGCACAAGAACTGCAAGACGTGATTCGACATAATAAGCGCGACTTCAGATTTCACGCAGCCAGAGGCAAAAAGAGTGATCCGGACTTTTATCTGAGGTAAGAATTTTAGCTGAAATACTGTTGAATTTGGTACTTCAACAATTTTCCGAAATTGAAAATTCAGAAGAAAAATTTGAAAAATTTGAATTGTTGTGCCTTCCTACATAAAAATTTTCAAAATTTTTGAGTATAACTTGCCACTGGAAATAAGTCGTTATTTTTTATGTTATTAAAAAAAGGTCAAGGATCCATCTTTCGTAATGCAAGCTTTAAAGTCTTATATATGCTGGTTTGTTCGGCATCACTCGGTCTACCGTAATCTTGACTACCGTAACCGTACCCGCCATAATTAGGGCAGACCAATACCTGCTGTCGGTGCAGTAGAAGCTTACAGCTCCCTACGGTAAATTCATTGAAGAGTAAATATTAATGAGTTCTTAAAGGCGACTAAGGCTTGACGTACGAAGCTAATGCAGGAAATAGTTAGCTTAAATGGTACAGATTAAAGTTAAAATTATTGTGTGATTTGAAAATAAATCATTTTAATCGCTTAATTTAAGCGCAAGCATAAGTCTTGTGCCCCTGGATAGAATGTGAAAACGCAGGTAAATGCAATAAAAATACATATAAACTGATCTATTCAATGAAGTTTCCCAGTTAGCCGAATTTTTATTGTTCTATTAGGTTGTAAAGAAAGTTCCCGGGCACTTTTGGAAATTTCATTTTCAAACGCATTTTTTCGGCGCTCGGTCGGACTTTGACAGCAAGTTTTTTATACTGTTCTGTAGAGGGAAGCCTGAAGTTTTCAAAAAGCCGTCTGACTTTTGTTGATGCCAAGACGTGCTCGATCTGCACGTCAAGAAAAGAAATCTTTCCAACCACAAAAATTTCATAATTTTTCTTCCTACGGCCATTTTTTTGTGCAATTCAAAGAATTTCGTCCAAATCATGGGTGATGTGATTGGCAAGGCTGTTAACTTCTGACCCGCAGCTGCGCTCGAGTTTTGCGATTTGCGCTCAGAAATTACAAGCTCTCGAACTTGCCTCTGCTGCAACTCTTTTCGCAGCTAACGTCGCTTCTGCGGGGATCGCCACGCCTGCACGATGGGTCCAAAAGGTGTGCAAGGCTTTACCCCAACAATGTTCCCAGTAATCAAAGATTTGGTCCTTTCTGTGAAGAACTAGAAGACTTCAAAGTCACTTACTTGAAAAATGGAGCATTTTTAGGAGCAAAAAATGGTCGATTTTTCAAACTTTCTAAGGAAAATTTTTTTGCAGGTGGTCCTTCAAAAACATAAATGGTCCCCATAACAGCCCCATCAAAACTCTATATAACTACATCATCTGGGCTCTCCAGCTCTTATAATGTTTGAGAAAATCCTGCACAAACAGGCCACTTTTCGCAACGACCTTTTTCCCTTCTGCGCATGCTGGTGGACCGCATTGAGGTGCTGAAAAGCCAGCAAGACAAGTATATGTTGTGGACAAAATTGTCTTTGCAATGAAGTTTGTAGCTTCAAAAAAGAATCAGTCCGCTTGAAGTTACAGCAATTTGAAAAAAAATTTTGCAACTGCCCGGGAACTTTCTTTACAACCTAATACATGCATTTTCATCATTTCAATAAATGTTGTGCCACAGACAACCTGCACGAAAGCCTCCATTGAGTATCAGTATATTCTAAGAGAAAATCATGTTTGCTTTTGGATACGTCAGTTGATTTAAATATTTTCAGGTACATCTTCACACACTAGCAATGAGAGCAGTTCACAGAAGAGCAACCAGTTGAACATGACATGTATTACCTTGAACGTAGCGATTACTTTGTTGGTCTATTGTACGAAACATCTATGAATATTTGATTTCATGGAATGAAGGTTACAATTGTGTTCCACGGGTATGTAGACGTTTAGAAAATCATTTTGAACAAAAACGCAGAGTTTCCTTCGAAGTCATACAGTTTTTTTTAGGGAAACAGCTTTTCAGAAAATAAGTAAATAAGAAATTCCAAATACAGTTGTAGCGATGGAATCCGGCCAAAATTGCGGGATTTGCGGAACCTGCGGTATTTAGTTATAACTTCTTCTAAAACAACTTTATTTGGAATCTGCAAGAAGATTTGGCTTCAGTTTGATGAGACGAATCTATTAGTATACATTGCTCGTAGTCCATGATGATACGGTAGACATATGATACTCCTTTGCTATTTTCAAAATTTATTCATATGAGCAACAATACATGCTGATAATCTTATAACACATGCCAATGCAATACAATGCACCATGGAAAACGGGCATAATGTATACTAAAAGATTCATCTAATCAAGCTGAAACGAAATCTTCTTGCAGATTTCATATAAAGTCGTTTTATCAGGTTGTTGCATAAGTTCTGTCCGATTTTTTTTGCCTTATGTTTGAGGCAGCTGTCCCAAGAGAATTTCATTTCTAATGCGGTATTGTTAGTATCATTAGAAAGTGCTTTTCTTGCGCTTTCTAAAGCATGTCAAATTACAATAAATTTCTTAGTGTGAGGAGATTTCAGGCCTAAAATCTCCAAGTGGCCGAGGATCGTTCTACCCTAGAAATATGATCTTGCGAGGAAATCAGCACAATGTTAAATTGGTATCGGAATAAGGGTGTAACAGGCTGGCATACGCATAAGTTCAGTTTCATGTAGAAAACGTCTTGCTAGTAAAATTTATTGTCAAACATTAATTTTCTGTATGGATGTTTTACAAGCTATAACTTTCTGTGAATAGAAGTAATCGATATTTATTTATTTTCTATATTTATCCATTGTTAGACAAAATGGCTGTCAATTATCATAAGGGAGCACTGCCATGTCAAATAAGAAAGGTTTGAAGAAAAGCGCTGTAAAGTTTTTGAGTTTTTGCTTCTTCCTTAACACGGATTTCCACAGTTTTCAATATGTGTCTGTTAGCCAAGGAATTGCTCAACAAATAGAAACTAAGATCTTGGAAAAAAGCACTTTGAAAGAAGTTTTGACATTTTGAAGTCACTTCAAATCGCACAGAACTTATGCAACAACCTAATAGATTTAATCGCAGGCCTAATATAAGAAGTTATAACTAAATCCCGCAGGTCCCGCAAATCCCGCAATTTTGGCCGTATTCCACCGTTACTGTATGAGAAAAGCAGGCCAACAAGAAGCAGCTTATTGCTGTCAGCTATGTATAGGAGCTACTTATACAGGGACTAGTACCTGAATAAAGGTCTGCACTCAGATTTACAGTGTAAAAGCTAGCTTTGGAATAGAAACTCTACAAGCATTGTTCCCACCTAGATTCGGAGAAAAATTACCAAAGTTGATTGTATTAAGTAGAAATATATAAGCCTCACGCGAAAATCTTTGTGTGATAACTGTAAAATTTGATAAATGTATTTGATTTGATATAATCTGGAAACGGCTCATGCGTTTTAAAAGTGCGCAAAGCAGAAATTATTGTCGGCTCAATGTGGCGATGCAAGTCAATAACGGATACTTACTTCATAACAAACTTTGGTAGGTAAAATTGCTAAAGGGTCCATTTTTTTCTCGAGTTTTGCGTCCAATCTTTTCGATAGCGAAAATTTGCAAAAACTGAGAATTTATGGTTTTTTTTCCCTAAATCGCTTTGAGATGATATCTCTGGCACATACATCATACAGCATTGACTATATGTAATGGAAGAAATATGAGATGAATTGTAACGTTTCTCTAAGTTTTTAACGATATTTGTGAGCTTTTTCAGGGCTAAATTAGCGCTCCAGCTTAATGTGAAGTTAGGACATACCGCCAAAGATTGCTAGCTATCGCACAAGCTATAGGAAAATTACTGAAGCTTCAAAATGATAGTTTGTAAACTAGAACTGTTAAAATTATTTCAAAGGTAGATATCAAATTTGCATTTGTTCCGAGCACAAAAGAGAACTTTGTCTTCTTTTATTTTAAGCTGTGTGACATTAGGTTTGAATCTTAGAACACATATACCAGAATCAAACTCGGTCATGGAAAACCATGTAACGCATAAAGGAAAAAAGGTTGAATTCTTTTGTGCAAAAAATTATTCAAAAAATACAGAATTTTGAGCCGTTTTGGAGGCGAAAAGCGAAGTGAGTGCTTACAAGAATCTGTTAACGATGCTTGCAATCATTTGAAAAAAGGTAATTTTTCCTAGAGGGTGGAAAACTGCATGTTGCAAAGATGATTTCACCCCCACTACTCCACGTGAGTCGAGCCCCTTTCAAAGATTTTGTGAGTTTAGACGATAAATGAAGATTTGAATATGTGTGTGTGCATTCATAAAGGATGAAGAACTCTGTTCTTGAATTCAATGAATTTCCAGCAGAATGGCAGAGAGTCCTACTTCACTTTTTAAAGAGGGCCTACACTAAGTGCTTTGACAATAAGTTTGCTATTAGCTTATATATATATATTTTTTTTATCAGTACGTACGTAATGTCAGAAATGACTTCACCGAATTTTCGTTCAAGAGCAACCTTTGACCCCAATCAGTCCCAAAAACGACTAAATCTAGAGGTGGACATCTTTCGATGGAATCCTGTGAACTTTTTGTTGTGACATTAACGTTTCTTAGTGACTTCCATTGCCAGCTGATGTTGGCCCTTCCTCACTGATTGCTTAATTAGTCAATTTTCGTTGAATTGACTGCTTTCAGTTACGTTGCACAACACTCTAATAAACAAATTTTCCTTGAGAATTGAAAGAAACGATTACAAAGGAGGTGCCCAAGATTTCGATCGTGACTGCGGACTTTCTCTCAAAATCTATTTCAACCTTCTTTCATCTTAGTTCTTTAGATTCTCTATATAATTTCACTGCTTTTGCATAGTGTGGAATAAGTTGAAAAAAAAATGACTTGAAGGGTAGAGAAAACTATTAGAAAGATAAAATTCAGTTTTGAAAATAAGATAAGGGAAAGCGCAGACTTTATGTTTTTTATGCCTTTTTCCAAGCATCAGATTACTCTAGCATCAAAATTCAAAAGAAAATCATAACAGTCTTTAGCGTTACCAGCTTTTTCAATTCGGCAACTCAAATAAAAAAATCAATATATTCGTGCTTTCAAATTTCGTTACTAAAAACAATAAAATGTTATTTCAATATGGTCCTATGTGCTCCTCTAACCTTGAGAAACTGCTGATTGAATGCCTTCACAAATAGTTATGATATCCAGTTTTTTCAGCATTTATCGAATAAAATTCTAATATTCTAGTTCAGAATTTACATACTAAGCTAGTTGTCTTGAGTTTTATTTAAAATAAAAAAGAGACTTGTGCGTTTGAGGTTAGCCTTTTTTATTAACTCATCAACGTAATATCAGAGCTTTTATAAGACTAATTTGTGTTTATGAAATTGACACTCAAAATCTTAAAATTTTCCAAATCTTGTTAGTCATTTATCGCCATAAGCAACACTTTGTAATCAAACGTCTTATGGGCATTTCTTCCAACAGTTTTTCGCTATTTCAAATCTAAAAACAATAAATTAGCGTGCAATCTTTAAACAATTTTACTCAATTTGTTCCTTCTCTGAAATTGCGTTTTGAGCAGAATAAGTCCTTCCACTTTTCGAAGGCAGCTCCATTCATGCATATTCACCTTCCATTACATTTAGGCACATTTTATGCAAGGCAAATCCCCGTCCAGTTTCTGGTTGAGCTGTTTCATAAGTGATGCAGAGGCTATGAGAGAGCTTAGGCCAACTTTATTTTATTTAGCTTTACGCTTTCGCTCACCATCTCAACTTTCACTACCAAACTTATAATGATTACGATAAATAGATTGGCACATAAGTTTTGTAATTTATTTCGTTACTTTTTGCTTTTTGACTGTGAGGCTTTCGTTTTTGGACTTAGTATAGATTAGATAGTAAACTACAAACCTGCGCAAACAGTTTAGCTTTCGCTAAGGAACTGGAGAAGATTTAGTCATTTCTCGGAAGCTGGTCAAATCCGAAGTTTCAAAGCTCGGAAAACCAAAAATAAAGCCGTTCTTACCCTAAATCAAACGAATCAAGCCGAAACTGTGTAGATGGTTGGAGTTTTCTCCATCAACAATCTGGGTGCAGCTTCGGCTTGATGTGTTTGTTTCAGACTGAAAACGGTTTTATTTTTGGTTTTTCGACCCTTGAAATTTCGGATTTGACCAGCTTCCGGAAAAGCACATGTTCTCCAGTTCGAAACCAAAAATTAAACTGTTTGCGCACATTTGTACTCTTATATCTTGTCTATATTATGCCCGAAAATGAGTGCGTCACAGTCAGAAAGAGAAACTTACAAAATATGTTGAAACTTATGTGCCAACCTGACAGGTCGATTTGTAACGCCAGTTTTACGGTTTCTTGATTGAAAATGGAGCATAAATGAAACTTAATGAAAGTTCTTCTGCGTACTTATTATAACCTAGTCATTCAGGAGAGCGTTGGTAAGTAGCTTTTTATGAGAAATAAATTGGGGATAGAGCGTAGCTCTTCTTCGCTCAGCAACCCTCTCAACCCTCTATTGTCTTCTATGCATGTAATGTTGCTAACATTTTGTACATGCATGATTTCGAAAAGATAAGAATAAGCGATGTTCTGTCAAAAAAATCATAGAGTTCATAGGCAACCATTTTGATGCGGAACAGGGATGCTAGATACCACTTTCCATACATTTCCTATTTCATAAATTTCATTCCAATTTTATTTTATTTCATATATTCCCTAGTTAGGATATGTTTTTTATTAGGGGAAATGGTGAAAAATTCTATGTGCAGCTTGTTCTTTTCTATTTCATAGGAACATGAAAAACAAATGAATTAGGAGCGAGCAATCTGGAGCCATTGAACTTCCATTGAAATTCTATCTAAAATATAAAGAATCGTAAGGTG